ATATACTCGTCAGTTAGATTAATTAATGGATTGGTTGCATAAATCGAAATTAACCCAACTCGATTTTTTAATGGTTAAAATTAACCGAACCAAATCAAATTTTTTGTTCAAATCAATCCAAACAGACTTGCTTTGGTTTGATCGGTTTCCTTAATTTTTTATTTTTTATTTTTTGCCCACCCCTAAAAAATACCTCTTAGCTAGATTGAAAATTCTGTATTTTACATATTCATACAAATGAGTCGTCATCTGCTTCTCTCGCTCTATGAATAGCTAGCACATTAAGAAATATCTACAAAAACATTTTGAATAGTGCACGATATCTAGAATAAGGCAAAGTCATTTGTTTGCACGATATCTAGAATAAGGCAAAGTCATTTGTCTAAGCATGTATCAAGAGATCACTATTAATATTTGATTATTCGCTTGTTATAATTTGAAATTTATAATTTGAAATAATTATCTAAGGTTTCATAATCATATATAATGTCTCAAATTGTATACTCAATGTCGAGTATAGTGAGACACAATTTGTGATGTGATCAAAATATACCGTTCATTATCGGTACATAAAGTTGGATGCTTTATGTTGATAATATTACATTATTCTCATTGAGATTTGTTTAAATTTAGAAATAAAAATAATGATGTGCTTTAATTGATATTGAATGGAACTGCGTAGATGACTCATTTATGATCGCTATAAATGAGATCACTCGATTATCAAACGAGTCACCTAAATCTTAAGCGAGTAATGCGTCTTTAATTGCTAGTTCAAGTTCTTTGATGTACTAATAGGTGAAATCTTAATTAGAAGATTAATCTTGATGCTTTGGAAATTAGGACAAAACAGTTAGAGATCATATTCTTGTGATAATGAAATCCGTTAACCATCTTAATGGGATGATCGTTGCTCTGAGGCATTTTCTATAGGCACTTGAACTTGAGCTTAGTAGTTCAATTATGTGATAACTGGATTCTATGTTGTGATTAGTTCACAATAACTTTAGCTTATAAAAATGGGAGTTGGAAAGCAATACATGTTGAGAGGGCAAAATAATCATTTTATCGAAAGGCTTGGGCGAGGAAGCTTGGCTTGAAACCTTGGAAGGCCACTTTAAGCTCCTTCAAAGGTTAATTCCTTACCCTAATGTGTAAGAATTTAAAAATAAATTCAATAATCTCAAGGTAATCTAAGATCCAACATTCACACGGGTTTAATGTACAAAGGAAAATTAATTTCTTCCTGTAATGATTAAACCTAGACTTAATAGCACAAAATGTTTCTATGTTTGATCTTTAGTGTGCAACGGTCCATGGGTTCAAAATTTTTGCATTTTCACCTCTATGTTCACATTTCATTGTGAAAAAGTCATTTTCATCTATTTTTATCAATTTTTCAATTGAAAATTGTAAAATGACAAATATATTCTCCTATTAAAATAAAACAAAAAGAAAAATAAAGAACAAATTACAATCATATTCTCAAAATTTTTAGAACAAGTACAAATAAATTAGACTAAAAAATAAAAAAAGAAAAGAAAAATCATCTTCTTTTTCCACTCCCAGCCTCCCCACAAAACGAAACCAGAAAATACAACTCTCACCTTTTTTGACTGCCCCTTACTTCACTACTCTTTCACCTCAACACGAGGGATCTTCATCGTGGCCATAGGCATTGAGGTCCAAGATACCTTCTCTGCTTTTTTCACGGCGGTTTCTCGCGTTTCGTCGCTGGTTGTGCTTGGGAACAATGAAGTCACCTTGGTCGAGGTTCATTTTGTATGTTGACACGGTTCTACGTCTAGTGAGTTATTCAAATTCAATAAAGATAGGTCCTGATTTTTAATTATTAGGATTCGAGCTTGTAAACCATGAAGTATCTCATTAAGAATTGGATTATGGGATCAAGAGTTTCGATCATGCTGTAGAAAATGTGCCTGAGCTTGGGCCTTATTTATGCATTATTTCTTAGAAAAAATTTCTTATATGGGTATTTTAAAAAAATAGAGGTTTTCATGTAATTTCCAACTTTAAAAATCTATCTAAATTCAACAAAAAAATAATTGGATTCAACTTTAATTGGGTTGAAGCCCAAACCCAAGTCCAACCCAACCCTAACCAATTTGGGTTGGATTTAAACCATTAATTGGGTTGATTTTAGGTCAAATCCATCATGTTGGGTTGGGAAAAAATCGACCCAACCCATGCCCACTCCTAGGGGGTGGGGGAGAGAGGAAAGAAGAGGATGATTTGTTTTTTCTTTTTTGACTTTTTAACTAAATTTATTTGATATTTATTTGTATTTAAAAAAATAAATAAATTGGAACTGTGATTGCAAATTTTTTTTTTTGTTTTGTTTTGTTTTGTTTTAATAAGAGAATATATTTTTCATTTTACAACTTTTAATTGAGAAATTGAATAAAAATTGATGAAATTGACGTTTTTCACAATGAAAATAGGGATGAAAATGTAAAAAAATGAAATGTAAAGACATTTTGCACACTAAAAATCAAATATAAGGACGTTGATTGCTAATAAGCCATTAAATCTAATAACCAACATTTATTGGTGTAATGTAGCATGGACAAATCTCTAGGGGCGGGCGGGGCTCAACCTTTAATGTAGCATGGACAAATCATTCCAAGCCCAAAGGATTACCATTTTTCACTAGGACTACTGAGACACCTACGATATGCGCCCCCTAGCAAATGTAGGATAGGGACAATGAGATCAGTTGTCCCCCCCCCGCCCCTCCCGCTCCCCCACTCAATTTCAAATCCTTTAAATCTTATTTTAAATTTCTTATGGATATTAATTCCGCCCCTAATATTAAAAATTTGTACTTCAAGATCCCCCGATTTCAGTTATAGAAATTTACTCCCACATCTTTATAATCCTAGCTCCACCCTTTCATGCACCAATGTGAACATTTCCTCTACACATCACAAGAGCCTTAGGTTCGCCCATGTTGGAGAAGTAAACTCCTTCAACAACATCAATATTAGAGAGAAACGAAATGATGGAAGTAAATTAGTACGTGTTATAGTTGCCTTTATCTAGTGCTCGTTCATAGTCGTCATCCCCTATATATATTCTAACTTTTGACATGCAATACAAGGATATTGTAATGATTGTGACATCTATGCTCATGCTGTTAACTTATGTACTGTCGGTTCTGGAAGATTTTGAACCTATTTTACCTTTTATGAATTTTTGTCACGTTTCCCAAGATTCAAATCCCATTAGTATCGTGATTCAACTTAAGTTGCTTTTAAGGAGAAGTCATGTGTTTGAATCCTGGGAAATGCGATAGAAATTCATGACTTTTCCTTTATGAGAGATTTAAGTTGAATCCTAGATATGTAACAAAAAGTCATGAGGAGCAAGATGGGTATAGACCCTCCCAAAGTGAACAATACGTAAGTTAAAGCACAAAAACCGAATCGTTATAGATATAATTTATATTCCCTGCTGAATAAAGTTGTTAACTTAAACTTTGATTTGTCTTCCAAGTCTCAATAGAAAAATAAGTGGGCAATTTTTGTTGCCATTTCCCCCTCCTGATGTGTGTTTCACTACTATATAAAAAGGGCAATGTTTCACTACTGTAGAAAGAACAGTAGATTCTTCCATTTTGTCTCACTGTAGTTTTTTTTTTTATTGAGAGAAAGCAACGACGTCGTTTATCTTACGTGTTTGATACAGTGATTTCGTTGCTTTTCCTCAATTTACACGGCGTGGAGGATTATGTCACAGAGCTCTCTTTACTCTTTCTCCATTTTTATACGCCACAAGTCATGCCTCTCTATTTCTCCACGCTAATTCAAGAGCAAAAGTGTGAATTCCATAAATATATGATTGAAAATATGTTTGAAAGAAAATAAATTTTAAAAAATGAAGATCAAACATGTTAACAAATGAATATATTTATTTTTCGAAAAATAAGTTTTTATTACCATTTCATTTTTATCGTAAATGATTCTAATCTTAATATATTAGATTGTGCTTCAAAACTACATAATTTATCAAATATAATTTTTAAAATTAATTTTTATAAAGGAATATATGTTTTTACGATTTTTTTTTAGTAAAGTAATGTTATGGAGGTTCAAGCATGAGTCTCCATAATTATGGAGGTCTCCATGTTGAGCCTCCATAACATATTATTTTTTAAAATTAATAAAAATTTAATTATTTTATATTTTTTAATACTATTATATTTCACCTTCCAAAAAAAAAAAATCATAAAAACATATTACTTTATAAAAATTAATTTTTAAAATTATATTTGATAGATTATGTAATTTTGAAGCACAATCTAACATATTAAGATTAGAATCATTTCATGATAAACATGAAATGGTAATAAAAATCAATTTCTCGAAAAATAAATATATTCATTTGTGAACATATTTGGTCTTCATTTTTAAAAAAATTTTTCTTCAAACATATTTTCAATCATATATTTATGGAATTCACATTTTTGCTCTTGAATTAACCTCCTCAATAAATTATTATTTAAACGGTTCACAAACATTTTGATTGATATTATGTTTTGGTCATCCAAGTAGTTATTATATACCTTTTACGTATATATATGAAAATAATGTTTTTATTTAAACTTACTTACGTGCTCAAAAATAATTTTTCTAAAGATACATGGTTGATAGCGTGAGAAAATAATGAAAGAGATAGGGTGGAGAAATAGAGAAGCATGGTTGTAGCGTGTAAAAATTGAGAAAGAGTAAGCCTCCATTATTTTATATATTTTTATTTTAAGAATATTAAAAAAATTAAGTTGATTAAATGAAATTAAATTTTTGTATTGAGAATCAATGAAAAAAATAGAAAGTAAAAAAATGCACGTTGAGAAATCATATATGCTGCCTACTGTATTTTTACCTTACCATATATGCTGCCTACTGTATTTGCAACTTGCTGTATTTTTATATAACAATTTTTGCACTTACAAATACCGATAATACAGAATACCGTACATTCACTTACCAAATCGAATTTCAAAAATTTTCAGATTTTTATTTTTTCAACATAAGCATAAAATAAATATTAAATATATATGAAGCACAAAATATAAATACATATGAATATGGTGCCGAGAGAAATCAGTATCGTAGTTTTACGTTACAAATAATTTTTTTTTTCAATTTAAAATTCTTTTTAATTATTTTCTCTTCAAATTTTTTACTTACAAGTAACTTTTTGTAAATATTTTCTGTTTTATATTATCTTTATTTTTAAATTTTTTGGGAGGTATGGAAATTGCGTGTTGCAGTGTTTTCTTACAGTATAAATATTTTTAATTAAAAATTGAAAAAATTAAGTTTTTCATAAAGAAAAAAGAATTAAAAAGTATTTTAAATTGAAAAAAAATATTTATAATATGAATTAAACAAATAAATGAGAAAAAAATATATAAAACGAAAAAGAAATCTCAATGCATTTCTGCGCTAATGTAATGAACCAAACGATTAGACTTTACCAAATATTTCGAATCTTCAACCAATTTTGAAAAATCTACAATTTTGACGCTAATAAAAATACAATAAAAAAAATTATAGCAACGAACGTGTCAAAGACTAGTATATATATATATATTGGTGTGTGGAATAACATAAAATAATTCATAAATAGACATTAAATTTATTCAAGACTTGTTGAGGATGAATATTATTTACATGCAAAAACCTGCTCTCAGGTAAATATAAAACAACACACTACAAATACCATAACTATTTCTACATGCCCCCGATTGATGTGATTCCAAGTGCTATGGATAAAGAACTTATAAAGCTATCAAATCCCATTAGTCTCGTCCAAAAAACTCGAAGAATACATTACGTGACAATCATTCGTAAATTAGACAGAAATTGGAAAATTTCACATTTCAGCCACTCAGAATTGTTAACGTACTTTATCATACAATTCCATGTCCACCTCGATTCATGTGACTTCAATTAACCTCAAAGCATAATCGTGCCATCAAAGATGGAAATTCAAAGATACAAGGCCAAGCAGGCGCAGGAGGCTACTGCTATCGAAGAGAACTCGAGTAAATCCTTGCCAATATGGTGAATGGGCGGAGACTCCTTTCTAAGTCTTATCATATTCTTACTTTTCTTCTATATTTAGAGAAATAGTTTATTTTGCATTTAATAATGAGCTTAAAATAGACAAATAAACCTTTCAAAAATAAAAAATAAGAAATTGGGTATTTAATAAGTGGAACGTTCGAGTTCAAATTTAATTATGACGCCGTTCGAGTTCAGTTCCATTCGGTTCGGTTCGATACCCTTTGGTTCTTGAATTTTGTATTATAATTAAATTTTTTAATATTTACAAAGTTATATTAATTCAACTAATGACATATTCAATTTTAGCTCTTACAAAATAATGTAGTTCAGTTTTATGTGTATTTTGCGCCTCTCTTTGCTGAGTTCTCCATAAATTTGATTGTTAAAATTACAGAAACAAGAAGAAGAAGATGGTGAGCTCACAATAATTGAGAGAGACGTTATTGAGCTTCAATTCGATTTCTTCAGAACGGTAAAAACGACACTACGATAGAATAATAGATTTGCGTAAAATTTAGATTAATTTGATTAAGTTGGGTTTGAACTGAAAATTAAAAAATAATAAAATTATATTTTTGGGTTTGAACTAAATTAATTAGTTAACAAATTTATTTAGAAAAAAATAAAATAATCTGACTTATTTAAAATAAATAAAAAATTAAGGAAAATCGATTCATATTCGGTTATTTAGTTTTTGATCTAGAATCGAGAACCGAATCAAACTCGTCCATTTTTTATTCAAATACTCGTTTGAATATTTAACTTAAGAAGAACCGCTCGGTTTGATTCAATTTAGATCGAATTTGGTTCGATCGGTTCTGCTTGGGAGTCTTGTCCAGCCCTAAATAGATGCACCTCTATATTTAAAACATTATTTAGAAATACAATTATCCAAAACCAATACGATTGAAAATCGGAATCCAGATGGAAATGGCACTTTGTGACCTCAAACAGAGAAGGCAGCAACATTTTTAATCCGCAGTTGAACTAAAATTTTCAAACAATGAAATTTATTACCCATCGCAGGATAAAAAATGTATAACATCTCGACAGGTAAAACAGACGATACGCGGAGTCTCATATTATCAAAGAACCAAAAATCATACAAAAAGTTGAAGACAACATTAGCCAGCCATTGGATGATTATATATATACTCAATTGCAAGAGTGCAGGAATCAATTTTGTCAGCTTCATTGTCAGGAATCTCCAGCTTAAATTCTTCCTCAAGAGCCATTACAATTTCGACTTTGTCTAAGCTATCTAAGGTCAGGTCCTTCTCAAAATGAACATCAGGAGTCACCTGCAGAAATTTGCGCAAAAAGTCGTAAGATCAACATGAGATAGACATTTGAGATATTAATAGGTCATCAATAATCAAATAAGAGTTAAAATATAAAAACAAATCGAATTTTATGGCACTGGGGCGTTTGAAGAATGAACAAAATGCAGAATGAGTTAACAAATTCACACAAGGATCTCCAATGAAATTGTTGTTCTAAATGTGTCCTATATGCAGAGAAATTAGGAGGATGTAAAAAAAAATTGGTGATATGATTCTACTGTTGATTTTTTTGGTAAAACATTGCACATATTTTGTTTGTTCCACACCGGAACTTAATTGGATTTTTCTTTTACAGGGAACATTTTCAATGAGCAAGATCATAAAGAAATAACATCACACCAAAAATAATCTTTGTTAGAAGAAAGAAGTAGACACTCAGTATTTAACACACCATGCGATACTCATCCGGTATATAATTTCGATTTTAATGAATGCAACACTGAATATTGCACTCATTGTAGATAAACAAGTGGCACTTTGTAAAGAGCAGTGCAAATGTCTTAGCCCCGAAAGTAGGGATGGCAATTCAAACCGTCAAAATCGAAAATCGAGATTAACCGAATTGAAAGGGGCGAAAAAACCGAACCGATGGTGCAATGGGACGTATGTGGTATTTGATTTTAGTGACCCCATTCGGGGTGGGGCAGGTATGGTATTTGCGTTGTTGCCCCGCCCTGAACTAATTACCAATTATAAAAAAATAAAAAAATGAACAATTGGATTTTCCATTATTCTTTCTATTATAATTTGTCTAGCCCAAAATTTATGACCCATTACTGACCCATTAAGTAACATAACCTAGTTACCACTTACCCACTAAGTACTAACCCTACCACAAAAAAAATTGGAATCAAGTTCAACAAGACATTAGCCGACAGCCGTCTTTACTTGAGTCTCTGCAGTGCATCCCCAAAATCATTTTCTTCTCCACATCGTATTCTTTCTTATTCACCATCGTCATCCCCATCCCCAAATAGGAGGATATTTTTCTTCCTCTTCTCGTTTGCTAATGGTTGTTGCTGTAATTTGTATCTATTTTTGTTTTTTGTCGAGTTTGAGTATTTGATGAAATGTGATTTTTTCTTCTCTACATAAAAGATGAATTTAATGAACTTAGTATGCCTAAAGATATTAAGTTTTATTGCTCGAGGAATTCGATGATACGAACTTTGAGTTTGAGAATAATCAATGAAAATGCAAGGATACGAGCAAGTTATTAAGCCGTTGAATTCACCCTGCACTAGATTGTGGGAAAAATCTCTGAAAGTTTTACATAGAATTTTTAGAATTGTTGAATTTAAACAAAAATATGGGAATTCTGCTCAAATGTCATTAGTGAATATCAATCAGAGAAGAACAAGTAACGCAAGATCTTTGATTGCCAAAATTCTTTCTCAGTTGAATGTACTTCATGAACAATCTTAATCTTTTTATTGTAATATTGAAATGAGGGTACGTATTTTATGTGGATATTGAATTGGGATATTGTTTGTATTTTCATTTGGGATGTTGTTTGCTTCATTGGTTTGGTATTATGTTTTTGTTTTCACTGACATTTTTTTTAATTTTTTTTTTTAAATTTGACGGTTGGATCTATAAAAAATAATTTATTTTCGTGGTTATTAATGAGTCGAACCAAGATATGAATCGAACCAACTTACGTGGTTATTGTATGGTTATGGTATAGTAAAAATATTGGTGATTCGGTGATGGTTTTGGCCAAATCAAACCGCTGCCAACCCTACCTGAAAGCTATCACATGGCAGAAGCGACAGAATGTAGCTTGATATGATAAGGTGCTAAAGGAAAAAGGAAGAAATCCAATTGATATGGGCCGAAACCATTTGTCAAGCTTCTTTAAGATCAATGCTAACGGAAAGATAAGATATTCTTCCGAATGCTAAAAACAACAAAATTAACTTCTGACCTCCGCCTCATCTCTCCTATAGCCTATTTCTCCTCATATATAATTTCTTTTTAACTATCGACAAGTAATTGCCTCAAGTAGAACCATCTGGAATTTCTATTTTCCGTCCCCGTCAATACTCAAACTAAATCTGCGAGTTGGTAAATGAGCAACTGAGGGTGGGGACAGCTCAGAAAGCTCAAGAGATGCTGCTGAATTGCCCCGATCAACAGGAAGCCAAAGAGCTTCCCAACACTGGGTAGAGGCTGACTTCTCAGAGGGGCCCAAGTCATCAAGCTTTCCATCCCAACAGTCTACTTTTCATCTTGGGGATTTCACTAAATTTCTTGACTTCCCAGCTTCACACTCTACTTTAGACTACTTTCCCATGCAATTGGTCTAGATAACCCTTCTTATATTTATACGCATCTATTGGCATAGAGCATCAAAGTCCTCGCTACTTACAAGCAGAGGGCATCTGAACCACAAGTAAAGGGATTAGGTCAATATTATCAGATCCTACCTATTGGCATATTAGTTTAATCAAAATCAAGTGTTTAAAACATCTCACTACAAAGTTTCATGTACTCTGCAACAGGAAAATGAGAGCTTTTCATTGTGAAGAGTATGAGTAACATGAAGAGTATAGGTAACATGTTGTCACTGGCTAGCTTGGTCTTCGCAAGAGGTAATAGTCAGGATAACGTGTCTAAAACATTTCTAATAAAGTCAAACCACGCTAAAAACCTAGTCATCCTGTATAAGCTAGGTTAACCTATATAACAAGCATGAATTAACAGGATTTACCTTTAAATCTCAGTTAAAAGTCCGGTATCTTGTAATTGAAATTATAAAAAATTTAACCTGTTTATGATTTTATTGGAAGGAGAATAAGGATAACAAAATGTTTATCGCAAGCAGACACAAAAACAACAATGACCTTTTGTCTAAATTAGCAAGCTAGTTTTTTCTGATTAACTAAACCAAGCATTTTATAGATTTACCTGATCACTCGTTATAAGAAATTATGTATTTAATGATGTGAAGCGATGTTAAGATGATTTTTGTAAGCTGTTCTGGTAATCACGGCAGTTCTCATGAGACATATCAGTAGGTGGAGATGAAGTTGGTCGAGTAAGAGTTCAAATTGGTTGAATAAGGTTTTTTTTTGGTAAGGCTAATTGATATGTTGGGTTTAACAGTTGTTTTTTTTCCTTGACAAACTTTACAAGATCCGAACAAAAAAGTTTATTTCTTAAATGATTCATATCGTTCAGTGTACCCATTCCAAATTTTAGTTCAATCAAATGATCAGCAACCGCTCACAAACAATGCACTTTTTTTTCTCAACCTTATTAGCGAGGCTTTAAAATTTCCCAAGTTCTAATGTTTGTTACTATACTGCATCCATCATACTACCACTCTCCATTGTAGCTGTAAATTCGAAAGAAATAATTCTCTCTTTTCCTTATCTTCAAATATTTAAGTCACTAAAATCAAAGCCTACAGCATTTGCAAACAGGAAAAGAAAATGAAATAGAGAATAAACGTATATATGCAGAAAGAACAAGAAAAGGCAAAAAATATTTAGGGGAAATTATATGCCGAAATTGACCTTGGAGGGATCGACTTTGGGGAAGCTCTTGACGACGTCGAGGACTCGATCGATGACCTCTTGCTTGTCGAGATGATCGTCGCCGTGCGATGACATTGATCGGACAGCGGCCAGTTTGGATCCATTTAGGGTTAGGGTCCGAGATATCGGGACTCGAAGGTGACGCAGAATACTGGATCTCAGTGAACCCGCCATTTCTATCCGTTTAGGCTTGGTAATGCCTTGTGATTCTCTTCCTGGACAGTGGACCGGAAGTAACTGTAGTGCAAATTAGACTTTGATGGTGTATATACGGGGTATTTTATAAGAAGGGCGTGTGAACCGGCCAAGGGGAATGGGTTTCGACTTTTCAATTCTGACCGGTTCAAATCAATCCGGCTCATCAAATTGCTACGTTAGTGTCCCCCTTTAATTGCTAATTTTTTTTATTTTTTATTTTTGGTTCTAAATTAGTAAATAAAAATTTATTTTGCCTCAAGAAACACTTTTTACTTTTATAAATTTAGTTTAAGCACGATTTGTCGCTATAGCTACGTATTGCATGCCAAATTAACAAAATTGTTTACATGGCCGACAAAAATAGCTTGATATGAAATTTTTTTTAGGCCCTGTCTGTTTGCCTACCATTTTCCATGAAAAATAATCAAGATTTTCCAACTTTTATGGTGTTTGGTAGAAAAAAAATTTCATGGAAAACATTTTCCACTTTCTTTGACCACGTAGATAATTTCCAATTTTTTGATGAATTTGGTGAGAATTCATTTTCCATCTTACTGTAGCAATTTTTTTTTACGTTTTTTTTTTTGAAATGAAAACAAATTTTAAGAATCATTGTAAAAAAAATATTTCCCTTTAATTGACAACTTTTATATAAAATAAAGCTAAACGAACACCAAAAGATAGATGATTTTCTTAATTTTTTTTTGTTGCCAATGGAAACAAATTTCATCCCCAATACCAGTAAATTCTATCCATTTAATTGACAATTTTCATATAAAACAAAATCAAACTAACACCGAAAAACACTTTTATTTCAACAATTTACACATGAAAAATTATACTAATCAAACACAATATATTGACAATTATCAGAAAAACAATTTCTAAGCAATTCAATTTCCTGAAATTCGATTTCTTTCCATTCAAATTTCATCTTTACAATCCAACAGACTATATTATTTTTATTACACCATGAACACAATGATAATTTATAGCAACACGTTTCATTTTTGAGTGAAAAATCAAGTCTTTAATGGAGTAATGCCAAGTTCAACAGCACTAAGGTCCTATTTGACGGCCATTTTTTTTTGGGGGGAAAAACGAGTTTTTAAAAAATAAATTTTTGGAGAATACTTGATTAAAATGCAGGAAAACTTTTTGAATTTACGTAAAGAATATTATATTGAAAATGTGTCGTAAAAAATGAGTATGAGGTTAAAAAAAAAGTTTTAAAAGAATGATTATCAAACAAGGGATAATAAGAGAGTATGAAAATGAAACACCAATTTCCAACCAAAATAATTAGAAAAAGTTAAAGATCGAAACAAGAATAATTATATGCACATCACTACTATTTAGTATTTGCAGAACTTAATATTTAATTTCATAAATGTATTCTTACAAACCATTCCTAAACCATGCGAATAATTGATACATATAATTTATAATAGACAAACCAATAATTGAGGAAAACATATTTCAGGCACAATATTCCCTAGATCAGTCTTTACCTGCCAGTACGCGTCTCACCCGGGAGAAGAATTCAGAAAATATGAAGAGAATAAGCCAGCCAGAACTTGTCCGTGCGCACACAGAGATAGAACGCAGGGATGTAGAAGCATTCCAAGTGTCACAATATGTATGTAAACTGGCTCGGGGAAGAGTAGAAATCTAATATCATAGAGTTCGTGATTTCTAAAAATCCGCACAAAAATTCGGCAAGAAGTTCATACTTTGAGAACATTTTCTGCAGCCAAACAGAGTGGCATTTCTGAGGCCTTGAGGACCATAGCGAGCAATTAGAGAGTTCTTTCACATCCAACCCTTTGACCTCAGATCTCAACTACGAAAATTACACTTAATTATCGAACTGCAGAGTCCGACTCCCCCACCGATACATAAACGATGTCAACAACTTGAGAAAAGTAAAGAGATGAGATGATGCTCAATTGAACCTTTAGCAGTTGCAATTAATTTTCTGAATAGTAATACTATTATGGAAGCATCAAAATAATCCCCCTATATGAATTCCCATCTACCCAGAACGAAACATATATCTGCAAAATATAAACGGTGACCTAAAAAACTAGTCAAGAATTTCTTCTACCAGATACAATTAGCATCACTATGCTAAGTAAACTTATCTAGTCTCCAAGATTTTTTAGAACCTGGAGGCGGCCTGAAGTTTTCTAGCCGCAGATTTGAGCTTGAACGGATCTGAGTCAATACAGAATCACCCTTTTCTGATTTAATTGTCTCCAAGATAGTCCCAAGGACTTCGGCTGCAAGGCCTATTTCAACCAGATGTCCTTGCTCTTCCCCGCCTTCAGAGATCAACCACCCAACTTCAGATAATGAAATGACGTTCTCCATTATGACTTTGGCAAATATGCGGCCAAGAAACTCTGCTGCTCTAGGGGCGTCGTTTACCGCATCCTCCAATGTAGTGAGAACATCTTCAAACCTACCCAAGTGAAGTTAGAACAGAACAAAAGTGAAACCGGAGAATTAATTAAAAGTGCAAATTAAGTTTCCATCTCATGACAATCAGAGAAGGCATACCCTTTGATGAGCTGATCTTTACTTATCATGCCATCTCGAGTTTTCATAAGACCAATCAGGAGCTTTGTCAACAGATCTCTCTCCGTGTCCTTCCTCTCAAAGGAATCAGCAACCCAGTTAGAAATCATTGATGGATAGAAGCTGGGAGCATTCAATTCCTTGATGCACAAAGCAACTTCTTTCTCATCTCTTGCGCTGAAAAGACAAATTGTCAATTTTCATCTTCATACATAAAAATACGCAGCAGTATGAAATTTGTGGCAGGAAAAGGCTCTGAGGAACGAATATTTTATACTAACACTTTTGAACATGTTCAAATAATTTTGAAGCTAAAACAAAACAGTCAACAAGTCTGGTATAATAACTGATAATGCTAACTTCACCAAGTTCAAAGTCCTGAGAGCAATAACCAGCCCCTACGTACTGATCCTCAAAAAAGGTTGCCACAAAAGTAATCCATTCACATAAAATGACAGCTAAATACACACGCACATATGATCTAGTTAATTTGCCCCCCTAAAAAGATAACAAAGTGTCCACTTTTGTATGACAAGGATTACATTAAAATCATAAAACCAAGGATTTCCATCATCAGAACCCTAAATCTCATCATTCATTATCACCAGATCTCCACCAAAGCAACAACCATACTATATTATATCCTTGATTACAGTGCAGGAAATTCGAACATCTTCCATATTCTCTAGAGGAAGCGCTCCTTGCCTGAGGAATAGCCATCTTCCACACTGGCCCCCTTCTATGACCTAGAAAGAAAAAGAAGTCCGTACTACAAGGCCCACCTGCACGTCCTGGCACACACTTTGTCTAGAAGACATGTATATAAGTACTAAAAGAACGGAGTTAAAAAAAAAAAGCTTAACTTTTACACATTAATTATATTGTTTTCCATTGACCTCATTGCCAAGATCTAGAACAAATTATTAATTGGGATTTTACTAATGATGTAAATAGTGGTACTGTATCAAGTACAGAGTACCCTATAAGGCCTTGAAAGTTGAAATTTTTTTATTACAAATTTGCCCTAGATTATGGTTACTAACTGGGTAGGAAGTTAAGCCAGGTGATTGCTCAATTGATTGATTAGGTTTATATTTTTGTATCAATTATCAAAATGGTAACTAACGACGTTATTATGGTCTAGGCTAGATCCTGGCAGCATTAATTGAAGCTTTAAGGTAAAAGAGAGGCGCTCATTAGTTACACAAGCAAAGACATGTTTACTTGAAGAGGTGGCATTCAGCAAGATGACGACTATTGAATATAGAAACGTGGAACTTGGGATGGAGAAGCAGAAGCAGAGTCTGTAGCTCCATAGGTAGACGAAAAGAAATTTGCATGGCACATCATCATTTTCTGGGGTAGGTTAACAGACCATATAAATGAATGCACACATCCTCGTAAGCTTGCACACCAAAAGCCCTTGACTAGCATAATTTAATACACTTACTAATTGTATCTCAAGCTTTAGCCACAATTCACATGACTAGATAAACATGAACTCATCTCACCTCAAGCCATGGGAAGCAAAAGCAGCAGGCTTGGACAGACATGCTTAAAAAGCAAACAAAAAAAGACTAAAAAAGGAAAGAGGGAGAACCACAAGTTCTTAATCTTAAGGAACAGGACCTCAGAACTTGCAGTCAGCACTAAATCTCACTTTGTAAGGCAAGATTAAAGTCGTTACCCCATCTTATCTAATAATGTTCATAATAAGTGTAAGGACAACCTTTTATTGAAAAACCAAGGTTATGATACATACCCCATCAAAATTAAGAACCACACTAGAGTGACGTCATAATGGAATACCTAATTCACGAAGCATAGCATATGGCATAATATATCAAAATTGCAAAACCATAGTATTCGACCACTCTCCAAAATATGAAACATGTGAAAATTTTCATTAGACAAGGAATTTGCAAAATTTCACCCAAACTAGAGCGCATTCCCCCATTTACTTTTTACAAAATCACTGCAGTCCAGATCTTTTGGCAGCATCACCAAAAAAAATAAAAAAAAAACACAGGAGGACCCCAAGAATGGTTTCTTGAAATGGGCAAAAAAATTTAGACAAATTATTCAAAAGTTACCCTGATAGATAGGGGGATCCATAACTTATCCTGATAAAAACTGTGGTCAAAATCCTTAAATTCACCCAACAAAATTTAAGTTGAAGTGGGGTGTGTGTGTGTGTATGTATATGTATATGTTATTTCTTGTGTGAATGTGTAGTTGAAAATGATCCTGTAGCAAAAAGTAAAATAAATTAATGGGTGTCAAACAAGGGCATAATTTTATCTTTCCATGTGATCTCTAATTCAACAAAAGGAATCCTGCTCCAGTAAACAAATTTTTTGTGCCTGAGTTCCTAATGCACCACAAAAAACCAAGTTCAGAACACAGACCCAGAACCAACAAAAATTAAGATTTAGAACAACCTCATGGTTCCAAAAACCCAGACATGTGTACTTTATATATATAGATTTCTCTTACACGCAAAAAGGATTATCCCTGTGAAAATCCTTATTTGTTTGTCTTTCCTGCTTCTCCAGCGGACTTGCATTGATAACTTATCCTGATAAAAACTGTGGTCAAAATCCTTAAATTCACCCAACAAAATTTAAGTTGAAGTGGGGTGTGTGTGTGTGTGTGTATATGTATATGTTATTTCTTGTGTGAATGTGTGGTTGAAAATGATCCTGTAGCAAAAATGATCTTGTCATTGAATTTTATCCTCCATAGGCCTATGAGTTACCAAGGCCATAATAGTATATTTAGGAGTGTTTGAGTAAAATTATTAGTTACTTTTTACATCTTAGAAGAATAGTATTGAATCCCAGGAAGAGTGATTAATAAATAGGTAGTAGTTGTGAATGTGTGGCTGAAATTAATATTTGACTTTGACTAAAAAGGAAAGGTAACTTTTAATTTTACAGGTACAAATGCTTTGCCTTAATTTTGATATACATATACACCAAACAGGCAAAGTGGTGAAAACTTTATGTTACCTCCAAAAAAGAAAAATGGGGGAAAATTTTTTTTATCAAAAAAAAAAAAAAAAAAAAAAAGGAAAGAAGAAGAAGCGATTTTTAAAATATTAAACACTTTACCAACTCAAATAAAAATCTTGAAATCAGAACTTTTTGACAGAAACTGCAAGAGCTTGTGACAACTAACGTTGAATGAAAGCAGCAATTCCATTTACAACATGCAAAAGTTCAAAGAAAGAAAATAGTATTTAAACCTATGCTTGGCTCATATTTACAAATTATTTATAAACACTCCAATAATTTTTCATCCACACATTTCAAGGAATCTACTATTACTACCCACTTATCTACCACTCATTTTTATATATTTATGATTTAAACCATTCATAAACACTTCCCAAACATGCTCGTAATTGGTCGGAGCATTTTTCACTCGAGAAAGAGCCACCTGCTTAAGAGTTTTTAATTCTATTTTGGCTTCTGTCTCTTTGGGGCTAGAAGGTTCCAAGTATTAACTGTGGGAAAAAACTGAAGATCAAACGTGAACCATACTTATTGGCTGGCTAGTTTACTGGTTCCAGGCTCTCTGCATAATATACACCTTTCTGATTGTCGTGGTACAATAATCAACTCTTGGTGAACAAGATTAATTTATATTCGCAACAAGCAAAAATGGCTAAGAAAGATCATCATAGTTTATGATCTCAGACAGCTAGGTAGCATTTCCGTCATAATGTAAAAGAATGAATGAAAATTAATTTAACTACAGTACCATGAACACCAGACGAAGAGCTAGCTTACTGGTACAAAACAGTAATCCTATTGTGATCGTGCTCTCAAACTGCAACAAATCTACTGTAAACATCATCATCATCTATGTATAACACCTATAAATAGCATAATCTAATATTCATATCCTCAACTCCAGTAGCATTGCTGGGTGTATCATCAATGGTCACCAAGTGACTCCATTTCCTACCTACTGATATGTACTAGATCTACAAAATTACATAAACACATGACAAGATTTCTTTTGATCAATAATTGGAATGGCAAAGCCCTGTGACTGAGCTTCATATAACTTTTCCTAACATGCATACTAACAATATANTTGGGGGCCGATCTTGTGTAGAGGGAGAAGCAGGTAGAGATCTATTGAAGAAGTGATCAGCATGTCTAATATCTCTATTCCCATGGTTAATACTTTGCTCATGTGGATTTGATTCGTTATAAACAGATAGCCTAGAAAACCCTTCTGGCATATATCTTGGCATGAGATCGTCTCTTTGACCATAAGCTGTCCATTCTGGCATGGAACTAAATCCATTTAGCCCAGTTTCTCTCCTACGTGCATCGCCAGGACTTGACATCTCGAACAACGGAAGGCCAGGTGCAGATGGCTGCCCTCTGAAAGCCATTCCCCTTGCAAGACCACCTTGGGGCCCAAGGGTTATGGAATCATTGCTAAGGGGCCTTTGAGGCAGAGAAACAGACATTGTTCTGTTCTCAAAGTGATGTCTCTCCTCTGACCGAACATCCTGAGAACCATAGCCATGAAGCTGTAGGGGTACAGCACGGACACCCATCTGGGAACTAGGAGAAGATAACATATTGGGAGCTCTAGGAGCAAAATCCAGAGGTGGACCTCTTCTACCAGAAGTCCCAATGCTGGGAACACGAGCCAGCCTACTAGCTTGTGCTTGACGTTCTTGAGCAGCATCTCTGTGCACTTCATCGATCTTCTTTGGCCCTTCTACTATCCTCCTCTGTTGCCACTTATTCTTTCTCAGATCAATTGAGTCTTTAAGCATGAACCTCACCCTAGGAGATAGTTTTATGTTGTTTGACAACTGCGCCATAATTTCAAAATAGGCATCCATGTGCTCCTTGGCTTTGGGATGATCTATCATCTCACCAATCGTGCTCATTAATTTGCACAATGCTTCAATATTTTCCTCATCAGGATTCTGATCCTGGCCCAACAACTTCGTTATGCACTCATGCATTATTCTCTCTGTCAGCATTCTCTTCTTATACAGTTCCCCAATTAGTCTTATATTACCTAACATACGTCTCCGTGCTCGGAGCCTCTTCTCCTCTCTTTCATGTTCTGATTGTTTAGCTTCACCTTCCTCATCAGCTTTATTTGCCTCTTCTTCTTCCCTTTCCCCTCTCTCAAATTCCTCCTGGCATTTGTTCAGAAGTAATCTCTTAAAATTAATTCTTTCATTTTCTACACTCAAATCAGGCAACTCCGCAGCTAGATGAAAGCAGAAGTTAGCATACATCTCACAGAATGTGGGTTCCATCAAAGCTTTATCAAATATTTGAGAGATCACCCCAGAGAGAGTTACAACATTATCAATGTTGACTTGCTTCACTTGCTCAAACAATTTTTCAAAGTTTTGAGGAGTAAGCTTGTTTAAGATGGCTTTCAACTGCCTCTGCTTGTTTTCCTCCTCATCTGAAACTTTACCTATTTCATATTTCTTCTCAGCTTTGTGCATCGCCTGTAACGGTGTCTGAGGAGAAGGCATTAAACCCTTCTGAAAGGCAGTTCCACGCTGCCATCTGTCAGAATCAGAGTTATTCCTTTGCATAACTCCTTGTGGTCCCAAAGACGGCATTGGTCCAGTAAGGATTCCCCCAGCATGCTGAATAGCTGTCTGTACACGAGGGTTCACTAGAACACCATAATTACCTCCTTGGCCAGGACGAAATCCCATGTTACCCCCATAACTAATATCCATCCGCATATCTACCTTCCCTGACATTAGAGTCCCAGGTTGTTTGCTCCATTTGTCCTTATCACCCATGACACTTCCATGATGATCTGGTCTGGACCCCCCAATGGGCCTGTCAAATTTTTTTCCACGACTTGGGTATGACTCATGTGAAATATTATTACTAGAGACCATCAAGGCACCAGCCATATTTGAAGGGATCTCAAAACCCTCGGGAAGATCAATACATTGCTCAGCAAATATGAGGAGGAAATCTCGGGAATACTTTTTAGTCATTAATCCATCGACATCGCAATCATTAACCTGCTGCTCATTTTTCAAGGTTAACTTTGGAGTAGAGATGTCAACAGCATCTTCCCAATCTTCTGGCTCCACTTTACTCTGACCAGTTTTAACACTTGATATAGCAATATCCTGAGTCACATCAGTGGCATTGCTCAGTGTGTTCTCTGTGCTTTGTGCTGGGGCATCAGTTTCTTTCTTTTCTTCTGGAACCTTATATGCCATATAAAGATCAGTACTTGTAATGGCAGCTTCTGCTTTTCTATATAATTCCTTTTTCTTCTTCCCCCTAGGCGTCATACTTTTAGACACATCTGGCTCTAAAATAACTTTTTCGTTGATGCCAGAAGGTGGTGGAGAAGCCTTCTCAATACCTTCATTTTCACTTTCTGAAACACTGTCCGAATGAAATGGAATTGAAACACGGTGAGAATCTTGGTCTACAGTAGCTGAGTTCACAACAGAAACTTCTTTACTATTTACGCTATCAGGCACACTTAAAGTAGCGTCCGAAGTTGAGGTCTTATCATCCCCAGCCGTTGCATCAATTGCACTTCCACCATCCAGCTTGGAAGTAGATGCAATTAAATCATCCACAACATTAACATATTCAGAGCAACTAATATATTTGTCCAACTTTTTCTGTACATTTCCCAATAAACTACCGTCCCTGCTGGAGGCCACTATCTCTTGAGAAGAGCTCTCTTCATGATTACACATGATTTCAGAAGATACTGGAGAAAAAGATTTTGAAGATGTCCCTGGGCTACTGTTATGTGGTTCGGAACTCTCAGACAAGATTACTTCTCCTTTGTCCTTTTTCCCCAATGTTTCAGTCTGTGATAGCATGTTTTTCACATTATTTGTGTCTAAAATATTTGATGACTGACTTGTCTTGCCTTGAGCAACTCGATCACTTTTTGAATCATAAGCCTCCGAAGCAGTAGCTGTAGTTACTAATGATGACTCTTTTGCAGTTTCCAGCGTCACACTAGTTCGTGACAAAATACTTGTTTTAGCTTCCAAAGTTTCAGGTACTGGGAACTCTGGGAACTGAGAAGTCAAACCTGAAGCAGATGGAGATTGCGCACAAACCTGCAAAGATGATGCACGACTCACCAATCATGGTAAAGCTGGTACTATATATAATAAAATTGGACCACAAAACAACCAATAACATACCTGATCCCACTGTACTCTGTTGCTCGGTTTTTTCTGTTCATCGGCAATGGAGTCAGGTCCATCAACTGTTCTATTTCTAGCTTTTCCAGCACCACTAGATTGTGAAGATGCAATATCATCGACAAGAGCCTCAGAAGCAGAAGACAAAGTTTTGGGCCTTTCAGTCTCCACAGTAACAGAACCTGACACAGTAGCAGATTGTTTACTTGTCGTGGACACTAATGCATATGATGGTTCAACACTGGGCTTTGACATCTGCAAATAGCTTGAAGATGAAGGTTCAACATTCTTTTGAGGACGAAGTGTATCCTCTTCGTGTGGCCTTGCAGGTTTCATAGATTCTCCCTTTGCACTAGAAGGCAATGTGCCTTTATCCACGTGAGAGCCACCAGCTGGTTTCACGGTCACCTGCATCGAAATTATCAAGGCAAATTGATTATTAAATAATATTATCGCCCTCTGCATACTTGATGACTGTGCAAGATCATGCAACTGTCTATAGGTTTTATAAACAGAAGTTATGTAAGAGCAATTGCAATCTTCAGGAAGGGCAGACCTGATTAACAAACCTCGGTGGCTGAGAACTGGGAAGAATCTGGGCACTGTTCAGTGGAACAGAACTTGAAGATGGAAAAAAGAGGGAGCTAGAATTATAAGAATTAGAATAATAGCTCATCGGATGATTAGGAGGAAATGAAGGAATAGGCTGTGAAGGAGGTGGCCCATTAGATTGTGACCTCGGACCTATTGAGCCATCAAATCTCAACTCTTCATGAGTGTCAGGATGAGTAATTTTTACTGATTTACGAGAAGCTGTGAACTTTGCAGCTTGTTGATGGGGAAATTGTGGGGTCATATTAATTCCCATGCTACCCAACTGAGGCGGAATCTGAGGACCCATTTGCGATGAGTAGTTCAAGTTTTGACCCTGATGCATCAATCCTTGAGACTGCATCACATGTGCTGATTGAAGACCAGTAACAAACATTGTTGGATTTCCCATTGTTAAAGGAATAGACATCCCCATTTGTATTGGGATTGGCAAAGATGAGGTTGGCGCGGTCTGCGACTGAATTTGGGGATTAGTGACACCAAAATGAACTGGAACCTGTGACTGGTGAAATTGCATTTGCATGGACATCCCAGACGCAGGGTGTACAGACGATTTTGGAGCTTGAGTTGCGGGAGGTGCAGCTGAAACAGCTGAAACTTGCACATCCCTTTTGGACTTGGATACTGGCTGAGCTTCACCAGTGTTGGGTTGACCAACGACCCTTGTTTCTTTTATCGGCAGTAGCTGTTTGGGAATGGATGGCGTTGGCACTGCAGGTGCAGCTTTTGAAGAGTCATAAAAAATTGCATTTGCATGGACATCCCAGACGCAGGGTGTACAGACGATTTTGGAGCTTGAGTTGCGGGAGGTGCAGCTGAAACAGCTGAAACTTGCACATCCCTTTTGGACTTGGATACTGGCTGAGCTTCACCAGTGTTGGGTTGACCAACGACCCTTGTTTCTTTTATCGGCAGTAGCTGTTTGGGAATGGATGGCGTTGGCACTGCAGGTGCAGCTTTTGAAGAGTCATAACAGGCCTGTTGAAAATAATAACAGGGAAGGTTAGCACCATAGTGTGCAATGTGAGCAACAAAATCTTGGAAGCTCATATCAACTACATATTGACCGTTGAAAGATAATGTTGTGGTAGTCCTAAACTCAAACGAAATCTAGAATGTGTTCATGCAAATTTTATGGAGGTAATATATACACATGTATTTGAAAGTATAAACATGTGAGTAAAGGGGTAACTCTAAAAACATAAGTTTTGCCCTGAAAATGGCACACAACAAGACCAATGAGACAACTGCTCAAAGATTTAGAGCAGCGATTTTCCATTGTATCTAGTAACAGGTACCTTTTTTAGAATTTTTTTCTCACTCTCATAAGTAGAGGAACACCTATCTATTATCAGTTGAAAAACTGGAAAGGAGACACACCACAGACCTGATCTTTTTTTTGCTCATCCAATTTTGGAGGGGCAGAGCTTGTTCGAGCAGGAATCTATAAACACAAGGGGACAACAATGTGGTATCGTTAAAAATGAAAGTAAAGAAACTGCGACACAAATTTATAAGCAGAAACAAAAAACATATTGGATTTCATGCTATTGACAGTACCTGCATTCCGTTCATTAATCCAGGACTTATAGACCCAAACTGTAGAGAAAATGCGCTGGAAGGATGTACTGGAGCTAAAGGATCCAAAAAACATAGAAGCAAATGATCAAATATAGTTACAGAAAGTAAAGACTAGAGGAATTGATGACAAAATATCATAAAAGTGACTAACTATTCTAATATTCGAATAAAACCAAAAAGCTTATATATAACTTCAAACGCATATCAAGTACAGGTAGTCATACCCTTTGCAGGTGTTGCAGAGCTGCTGGTATCAGAGCCAGCAGTAGAAGCACTGGTAGATGGAGCTGCAATAGAAACTTTAGAAGATGGAGATCTTGGAACAGCTTGGATGATTCTCTGAGCTGGAGTGTCAATTGGTGTTACACTTGCACTCTTACTTGTAACTAATGCATCAGACACTCCTAAAATAACGGCTATTAAAATTAACAAAATGTAAAATCCTCAAAAAATGGAAATAAAGGAAAAATGACAACTACACATATCGGAGTGTTGAAAGATCAGATAAATAAATCGCAAACAGAGTCAAAGCAAGAAAATCCCATCATAAATTTTAGTCCCCTTATGCAATTTTCATATTTTAATACTACTAATTAATAGACCGCTCTGATCTGAATATCACTAGCACTCTCATCATACCAGGTGGTGGCTGATGTCCATGAGCACCATTCTGTACAACAGGAGCTTGGAATGAATGGCTTGAATCCTGGATCACATTCGGATTACGTACCCTATATTGCCCCCCTTGTACATTGCCATTTGACTTCCTTAAACTGCACGCCCAAAAATAATTAACAATCCAAGTGAAACATAATCGAAAAACACAAACCCTAGTTTCCATGTACAAATAATACAAAGCACTCATTCGCAAGTACATCCATCCATACACCCATGCACGTGTGCAGGTGAACGTAAATACGGCAAGACAAAGTTCAATAAAATATACGCATGCACATACATATGTACCTGCGGCCGGGGACAGAGTGATTAGCGGGAGTAGTGGAGGAGGAGCCTCCGCCTCCACCACCACCCTTAACGGCACCGGGAAACTGGCGCTGCTGATGGAAACTACTGGATCGGACGGTTTTCCTGTACTGTCCAGACTCGGTCCTATCTCCCCTTGATCGATTGTTGGACATAAATTCTCAACTTCGAAAAAAAAAAAACAACTTTACCCGATAATTTAAATCAACTACTATCCCTACACAAAACAGATCGACTGATCAAATTAAGAAACCCAAATAAGGGGAAAAAAATCACATCTAACCAAAGAAAAAAATGGAAAAAAAAAATACCTTTACCGAAATTAGGGTTTTAATGGTAGTGAACAATGGCGGGAACTATGCACACAGAGAGAAACAGAGGAGGAGGAGAAGAAACACAGGAGCATGCACTGTGTGTTATGATGATAAATTTAGAGAGAGAGAGAGACAGAGAAAGTGCGTGTAATGTGTATGTATTTATCTATGCATAAATAATTAGTAATAAATAATAAGTATTTAAATGTGAATTAATGGCTTTTCAAATATTAATTAATTGTAATGAGGAGAAATTTGAATAGTCTGCCCTCGGCCGACATTACTTGACCGCTCACAGTACGACGCGCCGCCGTTAAATACGACGCGCCACTATTATTGAACTGTAATTCGTTGTCTGCTGAAAATATCCACTTATGAAAAAAACGAATTTAATATTATAGTTGATTCGTCGCTAAGTCATCCTAAAAATCCTTAAAAAATAATTTTATTAAATAATTAATAGTATTCATTAATCCAACAAAAAATAAATAAATTACCTTTCCTTATTATTTGGGCTAATGGGCCTTACAATTTGAATTCTATGGGCCCCCAAGAAAACCAATTCATGGGCTTGAAGGCTGAAGCTTTAGGGCACACAATAACCTAATCCATTTCGGGCTCATGGCAGACTATAAATTGTGACGATTGCGGTCGGCCTGTATCTGGGTTTAATTGCCGTTGTTGAACCGTCGGCTATCAGTACTTTCCTCTCTAACGTTTGCGATGGTACTCTCTTCCTCTGTACATGTGGAATATTCGGGAACTGCATTCGAACAATTTTTCTCGTTTTGATTTTGTAAATGTTATGTATTTGGATAATTGTTATATCTTTATACTCGTGGTTGGGTTGTGTAAGACGATATCGATTTGAATTTATCAGTATATGAATAAAATATGTTCAATTTGTTGATTATATTTCTTCCATCGTGGACTGTTTATTTAGTAATTTTATTACTATTATCATTGAAATTTTTATACGTTATTTGCGGAGTTTAATGTTTGAATATTTTGGAAACGTTGAATCTATGTATACGAGAAAAGGTAATGTTTTTTATTTATTAGCAGATAATTAGAAATAATCAGATCACGGAAGCGAGTAAGTTGCTCATAAAAGAATTCTCTCATCTGTATCTTGGTCTGCATTTCTACAAGTAATGCTATTTAGTAACTGAATAAAGAAAATTATTTTGCTACCAGTAACAGATTTCTCTTTTCTACATTTTTTTGCGAATTTTTGTTCTTCAGTAATTCACCAGTAAATTAGCTGATTTATAACCTTTTTATTAACGCGGCCTACTTTTTCAGAGCTTGTAGGAGAGAGGATTTTTTTATTAACCGATTGAAATTTAGTATATGTTCTACATGATTGTGATTTTCACTGTAATCCTTTGATCTGTGCAGGCCAAGAGAACCAAGAAGGTAGGCATTGTTGGGAAATATGGTATGTGCCATCTTATATTTTATCAGTGCCCGTTTCTCTCGTTTTCAATTTCTTTCTGCAGTGGAAGTATTTCATTTTGAAAGTAGCTCATAGTTTTGGGGATAGAGAGGAATAGACCTTTGGTGGGCGTCATGTTTGTATATTGAAATGAAACAATCAGCAGGATATAATATTCTTTGCCTGCTGATGAGAGGATTACTTATTAGGAAGTTGTGAATTACAGAAAGATAATTATGAACAAGTAATTGAGTGGCTCATTGCTTTTTGCGGCGAATCTAATTTAGGTTCATTTGCAGTTTGGACTTGTATTTTCCTTAATTTCCAAATGGGTCTCTGTAATAACTTTCTGCTTTTTGTGTTAATCTTTAAGGTACTCGTTATGGTGCTAGTTTGAGGAAGCAGATTAAGAAGATGGAAGTCAGTCAACACAGCAAGTATTTCTGTGAGTTCTGCGGGAAGGTATGCTTCTTCGACTTAGGTTCCATATGATATAGTTCTATCAATGTTCAATATGAGTGAGTGTTGTCTAATTGAACTGTAACTTTTGCAGTATGCCGTTAAGAGAAAGGCCGTTGGCATCTGGGGATGCAAGGACTGTGGCAAAGTCAAAGCTGGCGGTGCTTACACATTGAAGTAATTGTTCTCAACACCTCTGCTTCTTTTCTATTCTGCATTCATAGTATAAAAGATTGACATGCCCCTTTTTTGCAGCACTGCTAGTGCCGTGACTGTCAGGAGCACAATCCGGAGGCTGAGGGAGCAGACCGAGAGTTAAATTTTATGCTAGATTTCTGCATTTATGTGGTGCTCTACTTCATTTTTTTAATGCAACTTTAGATTCAGATTTTTGTGGGATAAGCGGCAATCTTATGTATTATCTGGAATATCTATTTGACATCGTAAGCTTTTGAAACTATTATATGGTGAAATCATGCGTTTTTGTTGCCTTCAAGACAGAACAATTCTCTTTTCTTTTCTAGTACTTTTAAGTCACTTGTTCGAAAAGACGAGGCTCACTAGTGCAACACTTTTTCCTAGCTAACCTATGCAAATATTCCAACAAACAAAACCTATACTTGAGTGGAAGCAAAGGTGAGCAGCCTGAAATTTCAGGTTCTACAAATCGCGTCCGTTTGAGGAGGGTGCACCCATCTCATTCTATGAAGTTACAAGACAGAAATTGAAATGTCGTCCATGTTTCTGTTACTATGCATTTGCTTTTGTGCAGTCTTTGTCGCTGCTACTCGAGCTGCACTGGCTGCTGTCAGCTGATGATACTGCTCTGTTGACTCTTTAGCCTACCTTGGTCACCTCGTAAGCTCTCTGCTGCCCACCGTGCTTCCTGGAGGTCAAAACAAAAAATAATTAGCCCCCGTTTGGTCCCCATCTTTTGGTAATGAAAATGGGTGGAATAGTAATTTTTTGAAAAATGAGTAGTTGAAAAAGAAGAAGTTTTCGATTTACGCGTAATATTATTTTATGAAAGATTGTGTTGTTGAAAATAGAAAAGAGAAAAATAGAATGTAATGAAATGTAATTTAATGGGGGCTTAGTCTCTCTACTGCTACGATATGCAAATCAAGCTAAGCCTCTGTTTGATATTGATTTAAATCAGATTTTAGTTTAAATCAAAGTCAAATAATCAACATTAATCACATTTTTTATGATCCCATAACTTTTCAACCACACATTTTAATTTTGAAATTTGCTAAAAATTTAATTTTAATTCGTAAACGGGGGCCAAATATTTTGAAGATCATTACTCAAATTGATCCCAAAAACCAATGACTAGTCTGCTTGACAAGAAAACTTGGAAATACCATAATCAATCAACTCAACATGAACAGAAGAAAATGTATCCACAACAAGAAAGCAATATTGCATCAATTGACATTGCAATCTTCAACTCCCATTGTGTTTGGAGAGGACCAAAAAACTATGACAGGCTTCTGTTGAACTAATGTTGGTCTAGAGGTGTCTAAATGGGTCTGGCCCGTCTAGGCCTAAGTCCTAACACAATCTGGAGCATGCAGACCCTGATAATTTAAGGCAAGGCATGCCAAAAAGAAAATTGTTGATATTGGAGAAAACGAGTAAAATTTGGATTTTGTTATTTTTATATAAAAATGGTATATAAACAATTACCGAATATGATGTGGAGAGAAAAGATTGGATGAAAAAATTGAATGTATTTTAAGCTGGCAAATGATAGGATGCCAAGCAAATATTATATATTTTTTTATGTAAATATTGATATACATCTAATAACGTCCGTAAAATTTACCTGAACTCAGTGGCGGACGCAGGTATTTGAAGTTAATGGGGCACGATTAAATTTATTAAAAAGTTACAAAAAAAATTTATGTATTCTACAAAAACACATACACATGATCACTATCATAAATTTACAAATCTCATATATATGATAAATAACAATTTTCAAAGAATTTCAAATAATTTCACATATACGATGAATAAATTTTTTAAATAATTTTCAAATTAAATATCACGAATGATAAAATAATTTCAACTCACTCTCAATTATTCGGTCATTGTTGGAACTCTATTTTAATAAAAAAAATTTCAACTGTCATTATTGTCCAATTCTAATTTTTGGTTCTTTGAAAAAAAAAAAAAAAAAATTCCCACCAACTTGAAGCTGGTGGGTCAAGTGACCCACTAGGACCTTGTGTTGGTCCGCCAATGCCTGAACTGCCTTAAGCACTTTGGAGCGGTAGACGTGGTGCTGTTCTGCGTGCTTGGAACATCAAGAATCCCATCATGCCAATGACCAGACTAGGTTTCTCCATTACTGAAAGTGTACGCTCCAAGACCTTGTCTTCGACCTTCATGCCAAGCTCCCTCATAAACATGTCCATTTGCAAATCTATAGATTCCAAATCCGTGCATCTTGTCAGCAAAATATTCTCCAGCATATGTATTGCCGTTTCTGAAGACATAACAATCATCTTTTAGAAATCAAATAACTATAGTACAAGCATATAAGATACAATGTGATTATCTAGACACCGTCATTCAAAGAAACCAATTGAAGACAAGATTACCATAGCAGATACTATAATGTTCCATGTCAAATGCAATTACATATGAGAAATCAAATCACAATAAATTAAGGTGATCTTCTTTTGTTGAATTCTAGACACCATCTGAACAGCAGGGAATACATAGGCAAGTCTTGAAATGTGAAGTGAATGAAACATACAAGTTCAATGAAAGTTGAAAGAAAGAATGGGTAGGTCTGCAATCTCTCTCGTTTTGGTAGGAAATAGAAACCACAAATTTTTTTTTCCTAAAGAATATTTCCTACGAACTCACACGGACAGAAAATCTCCCATAAGGACATTCTAAATCCGAAACATATGAATTATAGGAAATAACTTAGAAGTACCCATCTTGCTAACCAGGCGCAGGAAAAGTGACAACGCTAAAATCCTGAGAATTTAACAGTGAATCGATAATTATGTGCCATTCAAGGGCAAGCACAAAAGCCATTAATAAACCAGAATACATGAGAGTAATGATTTTTACAATAAACTATAACCTTAATACCAACAATAAAACATAAACTAAAATTCGATGTCCAAAACACAATCAACGTAAGCTATTGATAAGAATTCTTTCAGCATTTCCCACTTCGAAAAATATCGAACTAACAATTGGATAGATTCACATCTAACAATAATTGAACAGTTCTAACTGTAATGGTAGTGTCCAAGGCCTTGTTTAACTCCCCACTTAAATTCCCCCATATATCGACTCCCATTCTCGCAAGTATGAATACCACATCCATGGCTCTGTCCATTAGACCATTCCCCTGCATAAACATCCCCTGTGAAAAACCTGAACACCGCAAAACCATGCCTGAGACCTTGCTTATACTGCCCTCTATACCAGCTGACCCTCGCCCACGTCTCAGCCCCATATCCGTTGTACTTCCCGTCCACCCAATCTCCCTCATACCTCCCACTCATGAAATAATAATACACTCCACTTCAACTACTTTTCCCCTCATGGAACTCACCTCATATACATCTCCATTGCTATATGCCTGCACAAAGCACCCCGATATGGTGTTCTTATTGACATTTTGGTGCGATCCAATTGACCAAAAAACAGGGAAATGAGGACCTTTCACTTGTTTTTTCCATTAATTATGATAGGGAATGACCTTGCCAAGACCAGCCTTATGGTGGGAGCCTAGGAATGGCTAAATTAAGGGAGAATGGAAGNAATATGAATTCGTGTCGGGAGTGGTCACCCTGAAAATGGGTCGAGTGACTGCTTGAGTATTTTATGTTGAACGGTTAAAATCTGAACTCAGTGTTTACGACGACTAAACTTCGACATCTGTGATTTGTTCATAGGACCATTGAAAAAAATGAAATTTAAGTTAGTGAGAATAATTAGAGGGACAAAATGGTCATTTATGCTCGTACCTAATTATCGGATCTCGGACGGGGATAAAATACATATATGGCAGATTAGAGAAAAGTATTACAGATTTATTAGCTTCTGTGATCTTATATATTCCGAGAATTCAGTCTTTTGTCTTTAGTGAAAAAAACAAGGACTACTAATTAGATTTTGTGGTCTAGAATCGCCTAGACAGGATCTAATTATTGGAGCTTGGAATATATATGTCCGATCAGGTCCCTATGGTAGCTCTATAAAGTATTGAAACTTAATTGTGGTAATTAGAATAGTTTTTGGCTTAATTGTAATTACAATAAAATTTTGTACTTGGTTGTAATTATTATGAAAGTTATAAACTTAATTGTAATTGTAATTGAAGTTCTAAGACTACACATACAATTATATGTAAACTAATTAGAATTGGACTTAAATTAGAACTCCTATTTGAGTTTTAATTTTAACTCTTGTTTGAATGTGAAATTATAATTTTACTAGAATTCCATCATCTTTTTCTCTATAAATAGAGATTAGATGATAGAAAAATACTACAACATTCGTAATTCCATAAAATTCAAATTTATAGAGAGAAAAAGAGAGAGAAAATATATTATTTTCTTGTTGTTTAAGATTCAAGAATTAGTTTCTAGATTAATTGAAAGAAGGTGTCCACACGTCGGTGTAGTCTTTTCGTTGGAGAATATTATAGAAGGCTTGAAAGTTTGAAGCACCAAGATTCTTGTAATTAAAGGAGACGGAAGTTCGCGGATCAGAGTTAATTCAAGATTGATCATTAAATTTAGGTAAAAGATTCGAATCCTTTAATTTTGTTATAACATATACATGAACATCTAGACGATCTTGCTTATTTAATTAAAGAAAAATTTTAATTTCTAATTAATTTCGCTTCCGTATTTCAACAACTGGTATCAGAACAATCTAGATCATTCACGTGCATGTTATTTTTGAATCTTGATTGCATGTTTTAGTCGAGCGATATCGAAAGAATTTTTATATGTTGATTGAATGATTGGATTATTTTAGACTGTGAACCAATTATTTGTGGCCAGTATTTGATGTAATTTCTTATTTAAAGTCTATAACAAGATAAGTGGATTACGACTGCATCATTTTGATTTAATTTTCTGTACAATTAGATTCAAAATTTGTGAGTCTATGGGACATAGGAGTTTATATAATTCTTGTAATTTTGTGATCTTGAAAGTTGATTGAAATTGAAAAATAAATCTTGAAGATGGAGGACAAAGAATTCGAAGATTTGTATTTAATTTTTTTTTTTCAATTTGACTACTTCCCCGGCACACAACAAACTGTCTACCGAGCAGGCAGTCTAACTGTTTGTTGCTGTATGCGACCGGCAGACAGTTTCATCTGTAATTTGTTTTAAAAAAACGATTTTTTGAAATTAATTACAGGTGCAGTGACAGAGACTTCCTTGCTATTTTTGGAGCAACTATTATTAGATGCTTGGAAATTTTGGACTAGAGAATTAGATTAAATTTTGGGCTTTGGTCAAATTTATTTATTTCTTGAGTCTTTTAGAACCACAAATAATTGTTATTTTTATCTCTTTATGAATGCTTTAAATTGTTATTTGAAATATTGTCATTCTTGATATCATGACATATAGATTTATTTATGACATCGCTCGTGATACTATGAATATGATTCATATCATTTAACACGAATTTTTCTTTGATTAATTTAAATTTAATTTAATTATTCTGAATAGAAAAACGTAATAATCAAACTGTATATTAATTTAATTAATATGAACAACAGTTGGTAATTGTTTCAATTAAAATTCATTATTTTAAAATATTAAGTGGGAGAGTGTGTTTATTTAAATAAAAAACCACGGTTTTCTTTGGTCAATCTATAAGCAAAGTAACGCACTTGTCTCGTGTCGGTAATGCAACGGACTCCCTATAGGAGGGCTGCGTGGTTCAAGTTGCTCGATTGTATTTCTTTATGATAAAATCATCTAAATAGAATCTAATTTGTGATCATCCTATAGATGACGAAATTATTTTCAAGTGTTTAGAGATTGAGACAAAGGTTGTATACTCAAATCGAAATCATCTACGAACCTCCTATAGAGGCTCTCGTCTATAATTTTGGTAACCAAATAAAACGATGCTAGACTTACTATAGACATTTGTTGTCAGATATATTTTGTTTAAGTGGAATGGTCTTAGCTTGATTAGTGGACACATTGACCTATCATATAGAGAGACATGTTGGATCACAGGGATCAAGTCATTGTTGTATTATTGTAGTTAGATGGATCTACACATGCATACATTCATGTATTATATGCTAAATTGTCATTCGCTACTCAATTTTAATATGCAACTCAATTTGATGTTTGTGCTCATTGTCGGAAAACTCAATTTTCTACTCAAAGAAGAATATCCCGAGGAACCTACTGAGACTACAGGCAAGTCCAAGAAGACTGCGTATGATAAGTGGATCGCTGCTGACAAGATGGCTCGCTGTTACATTTTGACATTCATGTCAAACGTGTTATAGCAAAAGCTTGAAAGTCAAGAGACCTCTTATGACATACTAGAAAGCCTAAAGGGCATGTTTGGACATCAAAGTAGGAGGGCTCGCTTTAAGGCCATTCGTACCTGACAGAACATCCGCATGAAACCCGGAAAGTCTGTGAAGGATCATATGTTGACTATGATTGCACACTTCAACGTGACGAAGAATCTGGGTGCAACTATTGATCAGGAAACTCAAGTTGATATGGTATTGAATTCTTTATCTGATATGTTTTCACAGTTTACTGTGGACTATCACTTGCATAAGATGAATATGTCATTAACTAAGTTGATGAATGAGTTGCAAAATATGGAAAGTGGTCTCAAGGGTAAGGTTGGTTATGCTCATGCGACAATTGCTAGCTCCTCTGGGTCCAAGCCGAAAGGTGAAATTGGAAAGAAGAGGAAGAGATCTAACAAGAAGCCATGAAGCAACAAAAAGCCCAAATCAGATGAAAGGCCGAAAGGTAAGTGTTTCCACTGTAGTCGCAAAGGATACTAGAAGAAAGACTGCCCTGATACACTAGCTAAAAAGCTGGGTGTTGGTGAGTTTTTTATTGCTGAGTTATGTTTGGTGGTTGATTCTACAAATTCCTGGGTTATAGACTTTGGAGCCACTAATCATATATGCATGTCAATGCAGGTGCTTCAAGAGAGCAGAAGACTCAGTGAGAGCCAGTTTAAAATTACCGTCGGCACATGAGCTATAGTTTCAGCAAGAGCAGTAGGAGTAGTTTACTTTTATTTCAATAGTGGTAGGCGTTTAATTCTTAAAGACTGTTATTATGTACCGCGGATGAAGCGAAATGTGATTTCTGTTTCTTGTTTAATAGGTCAGGGTTATTCAGTAAACTCTGCGCATGATGCACTTTATGTTTTAAAGAATAAATCTTCTATTTGTGCTGGATATTTGGTGAATAGTCTTTATATTTTAAATTGTGCCACAAATGAAATAAATGTTACTTCTATAAACCATGAACGAATGTCTAACCATACTAGTGATACTTATTTATGGCATCTTAGACTTGGACATATTAACCTTAACAGGATACAAAGATTGGCTAGAGACGGTCCACTTAACACACTTAAGGTCGAACCATTGCCAGTTTGTGATTCTTGTTTGGAGGGTAAAATGACCAAGAGATCATTTCTAGTAAAAGGACATAGAGCCAAAGAAGTATTAGAACTAGTTCATTCTGATGTATGTGGACCCATGAATACATCTGCGAGAGGGGGTTATGAGTATTTTATCACTTTTACCGATGATTACTCTAGATTCAGATACATCTACCTAATGACTCAAAAGTCAGATGCTTTTGAAAAATTCAAAGAGTATTGGGCCGAGGTCGAGAAACATTTGAGTAAGAGTATTAAGACTTTTCGATCAGATCGAGGTGGCGAATATCTCTCGAGAGAATTCAGGGACTACCTGACAGAAAATGGTATTGTTTCTCAACTGAGTGCGCCAGGTACACCCCAACAGAATGGCGTTTCAGAAAGAAGAAATATGACATTGTTAGACATGGTTAGGTCAATGATGAGTTACACAACTCTACCTATCTCATTTTGGGGATATGCACTGGAAATAGCAACATATGTTCTTAACTTAGTTCCTTCTAAGTCAGTTCCCTTGACTCCCCTGGAATTATGGAATGGGCGCAAGCCTAGCTTATGTCATATTCAAATTTGGGGATGTCTGGCTCATGTGCTGAAAGAGAAAGCAGAGAAGTTGGAGTTTAGATCAGAGATATACCTATTTGTGGGATACCCTAAAGGTACCAGGGAATATTATTTTTATAGTAATCTAGATATGAAAGTCTTTGTTAGCACAAATGCCACTTTCTTAGAGGAATAGTATATTAATGAACGTCAGTCCAAAAGCAAGGTCGTGTTGGAAGAAATGAGTGGGAGTAATTCCACCACATCGATTCCTGAAACACAATCTCATGACAGACAACCCTTGGTGTCAGATATACCTAAACAATGTGTTTTGAGTGGGAGAGATGAGTCATCCAATCCCATGGATCAAATAAACATTGAAGGTATTGAGGAGGTAATTGAACCACCTAATGATGATACCAACATTGATACAAACGTTACAATTCCAAACGATGCCACAGTCCAGGATCCACCGCCCTTTAGACAAAGTCAGAGGGTTATCAGACCACCTTCTAGGTACTTGTTAGTTTGAGAGTTCAATCAGGCGATCTCCACAACATAAGTTGATGACCCGACTTCATATAAGAAGGCCATGAATAATGTGGATGCAGATTTATGGCAACAAACTATGAATGCTAAAATGGAATCTATGCATTCTAATCAGGTTTGGGAACTTGTAGATTCACCAAAAGGGATAAAACCCATCGGATGCAAGTGGGTCTATAAGAGAAAGAGAGGAGCAGATAGGAAAGTGGAAACTTTCAAAGCAAGGCTAGTGGCTAAGAGTTTCACCCAACGAGAAGGCATCGATTACAAGGAGACCTTTTCGTCTATGGCTATGCTTAAGTCTATCCGGATTCTTTTATCCATTACAGCTCATTTGATTATGAGGTGTGGCAAATGGATATTAAGACAGCTTTTTTGATGGTCATCTTGAGGAATGTATCTATATGGTGCAACCAGACGGATTCATAGAACCTGGTCATGAAGACAAAGTCTGCAAACTTCAGCGATCCATTTATGGGTTGAAGCAAGCATCAAGATCTTGAAACAAAAGATTCGACGTAGTGATTAAGACATATGATTTTGATTAGAACTTTGACGAACCTAGTGTCTATAAGAAGATACAGGAAAAAATTGTAATTTTCCTCGTGCTATATGTGGATGATATTCTACTCATTGAAAATGATGTTGGAGCATTATCGTCTACGAAAGCGTGTTGGCCCAACAGTTTTATATGAAGGACTTAGGAGAAGCTGGCTATGTTCTAGGTATTTAGATCTTAAGAGATCGAAAGAACAAGCAGATAGCTCTATCCCAAGCTTCATTTATTGATAAGATACCTGTCAGGTTTGCCATGCAAGATTCCAAGAAAGGTAATTTACCTTTTAGGCATGGATTCCAACTCTGTAAGGATCAGTCCCCTAAGACTCCTGAAGAGGTAGAACACATGAGTAGGATACCTTATGCATCGGCGGTTGGTAGTCTCATGTCTGCTATGTTGTGCACTAGACTTGACATCTGTTATGCTGTTGGTATGGTGAGTCGATATCAATCTAACCCTAAACCGGAACAATGGGTGGCTGTAAAGCATATCCTAAAGTACTTTCAAAGGACAAGGAATTACATGCTAGTTTACTCATCAGCAGATCTTGTTCCAGTAGGTTATACGTATTCAGACTTCTAGGCTGATAAGAACCCTCGCAAGTCTACATCAGGATCACTGTTTACTTGGTGGTGGGGCCATTATTTGGAGAAGTATCAAATAATCATGTATTGCTGATTCCACCATGGAGGCTGAGTATGTGGCAGCTTGTGAAGCCACTAAGGAAGCGGTGTGGCTCAAAAAATTCCAAATGGATATCGAGCTGGTGCCTGTATCTGCACAACCCCTGACACTGTACTGTGATAACAGTAGGGCAGTGGCAAATGCTAAATAACCAAAGAGTCATCAAAGGGGTAAACATATTGAACAGAAATATCATCTCTTGGGAGAGATAGTTAATAGAGGAGATGTATTGTTAATAAAATTACTACTGGAGATAACCTTGCGGATCCATTTACAAAGAGCCTATCAGTTAAGGTTTTTAATGGACATGTGCAAGGCATAGGGTTATAAGACATGACACATATACTCTAGGGCAAGTGGGAGATTTGTTGGGTTGTGTGCTCATAATATATAGTTTTATTGATATAAAAATAACAATAATTTTTTATAGTGAATAAAATTATGTTTACTTTATTTATTGCATTTATTTATTATTGAGCATGCGAAATTAAAGTGCATGTGATCACTTGTGATAATATAAGTTGGGTACTTGCGTTGAGAAGTACAGTGAGACACAACTTATATTTTGATCATAAATAATTTGTTCACAACCAATGTATAAGTGTTGACATCTTAAATTGGAATGTTGTAGTGTTGACCAATTTACTATTCAGGTTTTTGATTTGTCCTTATCACAAAAATAATTAAAGGTGACACTAGTACACTTGGAGTGTATTGAACGGACCACGTGTTGAATTTAATTCTATAGCATGACCATACGGAGAATTAAATTTCACTTGACTGCTGTGTATTTTATCTGAATCCTTTAACAGGATTATGTATATCTTTTCGCGATTTTAATCATTCTTTGATTCATCAATGAGTGAGATCAATTTGATTGATCAAATATCTCGATGAGTTGGGAACTTGAGAATGAGCAGAGTAGAAAGCATGAATTCGTGTCGGGAGCCATCACCCTGAAAATGGGTAGAGTGACTACTTGAGTATTTTCTGTTGAACGGTTAAAATCTGAGCTCAGTGTTTAGCAACTGCTAAACTTCGACATCTGTGATTTATTCACAAGACCGTTGAAGAAAATGAAATTTAAGTTAGTGAGAATAATTAGAGGGGCAAAACGGTCATTTACGCTCGTACCTAATTATCAGATTTCGGACGGGGATAAAATACATATATGGCAGGTCAAAAGAAAGTATTACAGATTTTTTGGCTTCTGTGGTCTTATATATTTCGAGAGTTCAGTTTTTGGCCTTTAGTGAAAAAAACAAGGAATAATAATTAGATTGGGTAGTCTAGGATCGACTGGACATGATCTAATTATTGGAGCTTAGAATATATATGTCCGACCAGGTCCCTGTGGTAGCTCCATAAAGTATTGGAACTTAATTACAGTAATTATAATAGTTTTGGACTTAATTGTAATTACAATAAAATTTTGTACTTTGTTGTAATTACTATGAAAGTTATAAATTTAATTGTAATTGTAATTGAAGTTCTAGGACTACACATGCAATTATATGTAAACTAATTAGAATTGAACTTAAATTAGAACTCCTACTTGAGTTTTAATTAGAACTCTTGATTGAATGTGGAATTATAATTTTACTAGAATTCTATGATCTTTTTCTCTATAAATAGAGACTAGATGGATAGAAAAATACTACAACATTCATAATTCCATAGAATTCAAATTTGTAGAGAGAAAAAAAGAGTGAAAATATATTATCTTCTTATTGTCGAAAATTCAAGAATTAGTTTCTAGATTAATTGAAAGAGGTGTCCACACGTAGGTGTAGTCTTTTCGTTGGAGAATAATATAGAAGGTTTGAAGCACCAAGATTCTTGCAATTAAAGGAGACGGAAGTTCGTGGATCAGAGTTAATTCAAGGTTGATCATTGAACTTAGATAAAAGATTCGAATCCTTTAATTTTGTTATAACATATATGTGAATATCTCGACGATATCGCTTATTAAATTAAAGAAAATTTTAATTTCTAATTAATTTCGCTTCCACATTCCAACAAAAATTGGCCCAGAATTTTTGAGATTTGGTGAATAAAAGACTAAATTTTGAACAGAAAACAATCTATATCTGTGAAATGCATTAGATGTTGGAAAATTACACCGATATTGTGCATATTTAATTTATAATACATACCATTTATGTTCTGGAAATCGAAAAATAATTTCGACTTATCGAGATGAGATTTGAAAAGACAAAATAAG